TGATCTTATCTACTTTGGACTCTCAGATTGAATTTGAATACTTGTTTTACGTTTTGAGTTAATTTGCTCACAATGTTCGACTCTAATTTGTAATTATTGGTGGCCTTTCAATAGTTTAATCTCATTTTGTGGATCGTTTGTCGATGCATACAGATCTGTTCGTATCTATCTTTTGTTCGAGTTTTTTGGATGAATTTTTAACATTTTCCTTATTTGGTTCTAGTATAATCTCAAATGACTAATTTCTTTTTTGTATCTATATTAATAATTATATGAATGCTTTCTAATTATATATTCATTGTAATATTGTATATTTCCTTTTTTTAATCAAACTAATTGCTTATATTTATATAAAAAAACACTAGTTACATTTTTGTGTTATTTATTTGATTTTACTAATTAATCAATATGACGTGTTAAAAAATTATTTGATGAAATATAATATTGTTTAAAATCATTATTTATTAAATTATCATAATATTTTTTTGAAAGAATTATCTATTAAATTATTTGTTAATTTCATATATTTTTATTATATAATTGAAATGTTATTTGAGAATAAATCCTATAACCAAAATATTTGGTTTATTATTTTCTATCAGTATATTTTGATTTAAGTAAAACGAACCAAAGCCGTAAAAATGAGATTAAAATGATCAAAAACCTCATATTATCAAGTTAATCTAAGATTATTTAAGGAGGATATAATATTGAGATTATTTATATTTTATATATATGATATTTTATAGTAACATTTTCATCCAAATACGATAATATAATTTCAAAATGATAAAACAATCCTCGATAATCTTAATTTATAAAATGATGTAATTTATCCTATCTTTTTTTTTTTTATTAAATTGGGATGAATATAAGATAACATATGTTCAAAGACTCAACTATTTGACATTTAATATGCGTACCCCTGACATACATGGTGTTCTAACATAGAACCTTAAAGAATAATAACAATTTTTTAACCGTCGAAATCATTCGGTCTATGCCTATATTATATTATATTATATATTATTTGTAACGTGATATTGTATCACATTATCAATGAAGTACATGCTATTGTCTAAGATTGTTATGTCAACGTCTTTAAAAGTTAACCAAGCTAAATATTATTCCCAAAATGAAAAACCCCGAACTAAAACATCTACGCTCTCTCTCGCCCAAAAACCTTAATATTATCAATAGTTTAGTCATTATTTTTGTTTGTCTTTTTCTCTTAAGGTTGAGTTTAACATTGTCTCGATTGATAGTACTTATTTGTTATTATGCTAGTATTTCTTGTTTTGGACCTTTAGATTGAATTTGGATATTGATATGTATTCATAAATAGTTTTCTCACGTCGCTCGACTTTAATTTGTGTTTTATCCGTGGTCTTTTGATAATTTATTCTCATTTATTATTTATTTATCGATACGATAAGATTTATTTGTATTTATATTTTTTTCAAGTTTTTAGTTAAATTTTTAAGCTTAAGTTGTTTCTCACCGACTCGCCATCAACTTTGTTTTTTTTTTATTTGTTAATTTTATATTTAAAAAAAAAGGTTTTTTTGCTAATTGAACATGTGCATTGGAAGAAATATGCGGACGCAAAATCATATGATTTGGATGAGATTTTACACGTTTAAAGGTTGACATGGATTGCACGTGACCAGTTATTATCACACCAAAAGACAATTATCTTCTGATACACGTATGTAATTATTATTTCTGAGGTAATTATGAAATAGTATCTATCTAAAACATTAATCAATTGATAATGTATATATATTTTATAGATATAATTATTTGAATTCAATTCTTTGAAGAAAATAATATTATTTTGGTCATTGAAATCACTTATTAAATTATATAATCTAAGATTATAAACGTGATCTTAAAGTAAGTTTTTTGCCTCATGAAACTTCTACATTGAAGGAACTCATTTGACCAAATTGATAGAATTTAAAATATTGAGGATTTATTGGATTATTTTTGTGATTAATATGATATAATGTATAAGTTTTGATGATTAAAATTGTTATTATACCATATCAAATCATCATTTTTGTTAAGTCAAACTTAAGTATGGGTGACCAAAACATAAACAAAACATAATATTATTTATGATTTTGAAAAAAATAATTGAATGACCAAAACAAAGACATAAGAATAGATAAATAACCAAATAAATAATTTATCCTAAAAAAATTAAACCAACCCGATTCAGCGTTCCATCTATTGAACTTGACCCGTTTTTTATTTATCTTGTCCATGAGTGAATCGATTCAAGCTCGGATCTTTAACCAATAATTAATTGATATAATAAGATGAAATACTAAATTCTTTAAGTAAATTTAGGAATTTGAATCATAACAATTACAAATTAAACATATTGAGTTGAAAAATCTCCTCATAATAAGATATGTAAAATTTGATCTAAACTAATTTATCAACCTATTAAATACTATAGTTAATTTATAAAAAACACAGAATGGGCTAGCTCATTGCGACCCGAACATACACCCATTTTTTTCAACATTTAGAGTAATCTACTTATTTAGTTACCCACATATTATCATGTTTCTATTTTGATCATTTAATTGTTTTTTTATGTTTAAATTAAAATTATGTTTCGTTTTTGTTTTTGTCACTCCGATAAATTTAACCTTTGACTAGTGATACGACATGGTATAATAATAGTTGTAATCCTCAAATTTTACATATTCTATCGATCTGATCTTAATTTGAAATAGTTCAAAAAGAAAATTACCAATAATTAAAAATCCTTCAATTTGGTCCAACACAAATTTCAAAATCCCCCTCCCAAAACCCGATCGTCATCACCGCTCGTTATTCAGGCCTTGTCAAACCCTTATAACGCTGTTCAGGCCTTACAACTGTTAGACTTAGTTGCACCCCCTCTTAAGTTATTGTGTTGATTTTGAGAAGCAGGTTTTAGATAAATGAATGGAAGTTATGACCGGCGAAAATCAAACGACTGTGAGAGCGACGAACAAGTAGAGAGAAAATTGATGAGAGCGACGAAAGATGGTGTGTGTATTTTCTAGAAGAGCAACGATGATGGAAGATGGGTGGAGACATTATTAGGGATAGGAGTGCGCAAAAATACCCGACCCGGTTGATTCGATCCACCGACCCAAACTTAAAAAAAGGGTAATTTTTTTAAAAAAATTGTCCGACCGGGTCGGGTACACGGCCTGACATTTTCCGGGTCACAAAATTGAGCTTTTCTGGGTAGCTAGTTACTCGAGTACCCAGTTAGTTTTTTATTTATATATATATATATAATATAATATAATGGATTATTTATATTATGGATTATTAGATTTTGTATTTTGAACTTTTAAATTTTATGTTCGGATGTTGGAGTATGTAATTCGAAGTTTCGAACATTTAAATTTGTGTATATTTTTTAAATTAATAATTTGAAAATGAAAAAAAAAATCGGATACCGGATACCCGCAACATCCGGGTCGAGACACAGACCGAAAATCACCGACCGGGTACCCGGATTTGCACACCCCTAATTACGGTGTTGACGATAAAAAAAATGTTGCAATATGAATCTAGTGGAACAGTAAAAAAATTTCGTTACCTTATTGTTCAATTGGAGATTTTTTTTTAAAGAAATCGATTAATTTCTCTTAGGAAAGTAAAAAAAGGTTCGTTACCTTTGAAACCAATATTTATTTCCCGCTTTCTTCAGTGAAATCGTTACAAACCCTCCCTTCTTCTCTTTCAAGAATCAGACCAAGAAAAAGAAAACTGCGACAGAATTCAATCTCAGATTACGTTATAAAAGTTCTTAATTTATACCCTATTCTTACTCGGTTTCCTTCATTTTTATATGTTTTACCGAGTTTCTTGAGACACACGCAACTACTTCTCATTTCATTCCCACTATCTTGGTTTAAGTGAGTCACTCTTGGCAACATAACCAGCCAGATAAGTGGTTTCCGAGGCAAGTCAAAGGCCTTGCTAACTCAATCAAAACACATGGTTCGTTTTTCTTTTCTTTTTTAGTTCTCGGGATAAACAAAACAGAAATGCTAACTTCTTTATTCTTCTTCTTCTTTTTAAGTTTCTTTCTTGAATTGTGAAATATGTGACTTCATCATTGAGATTTCATTCTTAGTTGCACACTAAGAAGGTTAATTCAATTTGTTTTTGAAGGAAACTCCTTCTTCGTCCACTTTCGGTTCCTTGGAGTACTTGAAAGAGCTCTTTACAACAGCTTCCTTGGAGCGCGCAGAGATTGTGGAAGACTTTGATGATCACATGCCTACTTCCATAAGACATTTAAAGAATGTGTATGTATTAGAAATGGATTTGATTTGGACCGACGAAAACAGCATTCCAGAGAGAAATTTACAAAACTTGTGGGATTATGAGGTATGAAGAGGCTGTTTGCTTCATTGTGAATAACATTACTCTTTACCTATCTTATATTTTTGTTCTTAGACTCCTGCTTGATCGGTTTCGTCCAATTTCCGGTGTCTGGCAGCTATTGAAAAGGCCTTCTACGGACTACTTGCAGACGGTCCAAACGATATTAATGCGGAAATGCGGGCTAGTTTCATCAATTTGCTAGTGAGGGTAAGTTATGTTTACATAATACAAGAAAGTAACCCTTTCCAGCACACTGTTTCAGGGTTATCCTTATTTCAACTGCAGGTAACTGAGATGAAAAAGCTTCTACTTCGACCCGAGATGCTATGTTTAACCGTGAATTACATCGATCGTTGTCTTTCCAACATTTCAATTAACAGCCAACAGTTACAGTTGCTTGGACTTGCCTCATGATGATTGCTTGGTAAGATTTCATGTTTCTTTCTAGCTTCTGTGTATGCATATGCCTCTGTTTGTGCGTGTAAATGTGGATTATAACCAAAATTGATCTCATGCCAGGAAATACGTCTCACCTAAATCCGCACCCAAAGTGCCAGTGTGGTGCCATGTTACCGGTAAAATTTACTGGAAAGATGAGGTCAGGATTCCATTTCCGATCTTGTTTATTCACCGCAAACCTCCGTGAACATATTTTCCTTGCTTCGACTGCTGCAGATGCTACAAATGGAATCTGCCGTGATGTACCACTTGAACTATGAAATGGCAGTCCCAACAGCTTATATTTTTTCTGAGGCAAATTGTTTGGGTTTCCGAAACGCGTGATCGGGTATCTCTCTCGTGGACAAACGTATTCGTCAATAATCTTACATTCTGTAATCCAAACGACCACTAATTATCTTAGTTGCAACAAAATAGGGGAATCATTCCTGTGTTGAAGCTATCATGCTTTGCTGTTAAGATTTGCCTGTCTTCAATAGGATCATCTGTTGCAGCTCAAATGTTTGGCCAGCTACATTCTACAGTTATCACTTCTGGATTACGTTGTGCTTCAATATGCACCGCAGCTAGTTGCGGCTTCTGCCGGTTTCTTGGCCAGATTTATTCTCTCTCCTTCAGACAAACCTTGGGTACTCTCTATCTGGTTGTTTATCAACTTGGCCTAGTTTTGTATAAGCTTGTGTTGGATGATCTATGTCTGCTTTTTTGGACAGGATGCTAAATTAAGGGAATACACACTATACCAGCCCTCTGATTTAGAGGAATGTATTAAGCTAGAGGAATGTGTTAAGGCATTGCATCGTCTCTACCGCAACGAAGGTGGTGCTAGTTTGAGTGCAATCGCAGCCAAGTATAGTCAGTCGAAGGTGAGTAGTTGCGTTGTTTACGACGATACAACGCGGTTAGCTTTCGATAAACCGAGTGACCATATGCTAATGTTAATGTTGTCCTGATATATTTCCTTGGGTGTGCATCAGTACTGTTCTGTGTCAAAGAGGGAGTGCAAAGCAACAATTCCAGAGCAGCTCTTCTGGGCTGTGTGAGCCAGCTAGTTTCATGTTTCAGCTTTGCTTCCCATACAATTCTGGATTTGTGGTATTTACATGTAAAAAAATGTTGAAATTTGAAGCTTGGAAATGGTCTACATTGTTCAATTTCATGAAAAACCTGATGTTTGGCTACTGAGAAAGTTTAACATGGGAAAATGAAAAGAAAGTTTAAGTTTAGGTAAGAAAATCAAATAACTTTAAATAAAAATATAAAACATAAAATTATAATCAATCAAATTCATTAACACACCTATTGAAATTTTTACCCAATCTTTATCTTTGTCCATCAAATAATTAAGGATTGTTATCATTCTTTGAGATCTTAAGTTTAAGCACTATATATATAGAAGTATCTAAACGTTTATTGTTAAATAGTTGAAAATATTACACTTTGAACAAGCTCACTCTTGACATAACCATTGTTGCAATACGTAGGAAAACAATCCATGGACGCCATCCGTGACAAAAGCCTATTGCAGTCGTCTGCAACAATCCATGGACACAAGCCTATTACAGTCATTTTAGTAGTCTATGGATTTTCCTTGCACATGTGAAAATGAAGCACTTTTTATTTTATATATTTATTACATCAAGGAATAATCCATTAATAATCTAACGATAATTAACCTTTAATAATCATATCTAACAATACAAAAACAGAAGTTATTTCTTTTTAAATTTAGCGAAGAAACTTATACAAAAAATAAAGAAAATTATTAATCTTATACTTTACTTAAAATGTTAATATTTTAATTAATAATTCTTTTAAAAATAAATGATTAGACTCTTTTTTAGACGTAAAAGCAATGATGGATTAAAGGGTGTTGAGGATAGCCACATCCCTGAATATTTGAGATTTTCATATAATATATGTATTTCTTTTGTATTTTCTATGATATATAATTTCGTACGTCATGAAGTCTTGTAATTTGGTACCTTTAAATTTTTGATATAATTTTCTAAAAGTTTGTACTCGTAGTATAAAACCACGTGTTTGTTTTTTGTGTAAAGATAAGTACTATCAACACTAACATAAAAATATATATAATAATGATAGTACGTTAAAGATTTAATTTTATTATAATTTAATTGTGATCTATTTTTGGTTATTGGAGGAGTTTATTAATAAAAGGTAACCAAGCTGAAATTCAAGAGTCCAAGGCATAAATATATTACTAAGGTTACCAAATGAACACCAATTAAAAAGATGATATTAAATTAAATTCAGAAAAAAGGAGGATGTATTATAAAATATAAAATTTCTATTAATTATGTAGATGTAAAAGAAAATTAATTAAATAATATAATATAATATAATTAAGATAAACATAAATTGCAATTAAAATTATAATGAAAAAGAGAGAAAAAAAAGTGAATAAGTAGACTTTTTACTCAAATATACCTTATTTAAAACTAATTCCTCATCTTAACATATATTCAAAATTATTTTGCAATTTAGCACCTTTTTATGTTTCTTGTTGGTAACGTAGTATAAAAGAGTAAGAGTTCTTGAAGTTTGATTAAAATGAAATAAAAAATAAAGACAAAAAATTGAAATATTGTATAATTTTAACAAAAAAATAAACATATTTTCATCTCTGCATACATGTCAAAAACATATAATTGCACGTGCTACATATTCACATGTATTAGCCTTATATTCAAATATTCAATAAACACGTTTAAAAAGTTATAAATACGTGATTGAACATAATATTAATACATATACCGTCATTATCACTCGACACACACTCATAAAATTATATATTTTTGACACGCACTGTACATATTTATTCTTTTTAGATAAAATTATATGAATTTTTTATATTTTTTATCCTCGTTTTCCTATATATGCCTTTGTTATTGTAATGTAAATAAAAGAGACATCCTACGTGACAGAAAATGTTTTAGATTAAAAAACAATATGTAATAAGTGGTAGAATAAAAAATTGTTTTTAAATAGAATATATTTAAGTAAAAGCTTTGAAATATATATTTGCAATACCTAATATAGAAGAGGCAAACCGAAAAGAAGTAAAGTTTGACCATACTTTTAGGGAAAATCTTAAGCTTCAAATCATTACCCAATCCTAAAAGATGCACATCTATCACCCTCTCTCCTATGGGCCTTCCCTGTCCCTGGTTCTTCCTCACCGTCCATTAATGGCGTACTCTCGAACCAGCAACGCCGATTCCAGGGACGTCTCATCCGCCGCTATTCCATTAAACCCTTCCTCACCCAAGTCTCCTTCATCTCCTCCGCCACCGCCCCAACCCTTCTCCCTCATTGAACCATCCGAATTAAAATCCTCCAATAGACAAAAAAGCCGTGTCTTTCGAGCTTTCCTTTCGGTTTTTCGCTCCTTCCCCATTCTCACCCCTTCATGCACGTTCCCCGTTTGCCCCACCGGTTTACAATCGGATACCCACGTCACCAACTCCGGTACCCTGGTGACCGGTACCCTGTTCGGGTACCGTAAAGGAAAGGTCATCCTCTCGATCCAAGAGACCCCCAAGTGTCTCCCTTCGTTGGTCCTCGAGTTAGCCATGCAGACTAACGGGTTGCAGAAGGAACTCAGCTCTGGCATGGTGAGGATCGCTCTCGAGTGCGAGAAGCAAGCATCGGGGAAAGAGAAAGTCAAGCTCTTGGACGAGCCAGTGTGGACCATGTTTTGCAATGGGAAGAAGACTGGCCTTGTTGTAAGACGGGATGCAACGGAGGAGGATTTGAACGTCATGGAGCTTCTCAACCCGGTTTCCATGGGGGCCGGTGTATTGCAAGGGAATTCCGAAACTGAAGGCGTCGACGGGGAGTTGGCGTATATCAGACCGTATTTCGATCGAGTCGTCGGGTCGAAGGATTCCGAGACCCTTTACATGTTGAGCCCCGACGGAAACAATGGTGACGAGCTTAGTATATTTATGGTGAGGTTATGATAAGCAGCCGCCGTGGATAGACATTATGAAAAGCAGAGTTTTAAATTACGGTAGTGTTTTTTGATTACATTATGTTTATCGCGACTGCAGACATAAAAATGAATGTTATTGCGATCATTGTGAATAACATAATCACGCAATAAGAATTTCGGATGATATCGTTATTTCTATAAAACAAAATTTATTCCATAACATATCACTATTTAAACCCCGAGGAATAGACAATTAAGAGAAGAGAAGGTACAGGGATGTTTAGATGCAGTTGGGGTGGAAATTTGATTGATTGGGAGTTGATTTTAACAGGAAATTTGTTTCTGTTTTTGTTTCTTTAATCCATAAGCATACAATATTAGTAAATTATTGTGGAAAGAATGAACAAATCTTGTTAAGAAAATGGTTTTCCTCTTCTTTTTAATCTCAACATTTCTTCTCTCTTTTCCATCTCATTTTGTGCTTTTATGTGATAACAATTCGTTGAGACAACACCAATATATTATTTACTTAATGCATAATAACATGACACAAATATGTATACCCATACTTAATAAATCTGTCCCTTTTAATATTTGATCTTAACTGTGTCCCTAATTATAAATTTAATTTTCTTATATATCATAATTGGGTCAATTTCAAACAACATGAATTTAATGAGTTTTTTAAACAAATAAAATTTAAGAGACTTCATTTTATATATCTTTCATATTCATTTAAGTCTTTTATTTTGAATTTTTTAATAGTTTTGCTTAATAATATTTATTATTTATTATTGTTGACAGTGGCATCAACTTTGAACCGATCGTCAATTGTAAATTTTTTCTTTTCAATTTCTTTCTTTCTTGTTACTTTTTCAGATTTTACCATATTTTTTTGTTGTGTTTTTGTTTTTTTATATTTGAGTTATATTATATTATTTTATCTAATTCTTCTTCTTTTCAAATGAAAATAGTGGACAATTTTATCTATTCTCATTGTACGTTCTTTGTTTATTCTTTTAGTATGTTTTATCTTTTTTCAAGGTAAAATTTGATATTGCTTTTGTCACACCTAGAATCTGTGATTAGAAGTTTTCAAAATAAATTTCAAATGTTTAAGTGAAATTCAATCACAGTGGACTGAATTAGAATAAATTCAATCTTAAAGTGCCCAATTGAAAGGAAAATGAAGTTATCAAGGATTAAATTGAGTAGTCTTAATAATAGAAACCCAATTAGAGAATATTAGGGACTGGAGTGAACATAGAATAGAACGTTGGGCCATAAGTGTGAACCCTGGAAAGGATAGGGTCACGTATTGTAATTATCCCCAAACCTAGTGGTATGAATACCACCTTTTAAACCCTATGTCCATTTTTCTGGAAATATCATTTTCGCCGCTCACTGGAATTCTTTAAGTGGGCTTCGAATGCGATAGCTGGAAGGGTACTTAATGCTTTTTGGGGGGCTTAGTCGGAGTTTTTCTCCTGTTCTACGTTTGTTTGTTTTTTTTAGGATTCTCAATGCTTTTACGGAAATATGTGTAGTCCTAATAAAATTATCGGAAAAAAACAATTATATTTATTCAATTTTTTAAAAAAAAAGCTCAAGAAAAACTATAAATTCATCATTTTCATCAATATAAGATGATAATTTCGATCGTCATTGTAATAATAATTTTGTTTGTCTCATTAATTTCGCTCCATTATCATATTTTCCTTTATTTCTATAAAAAAACACATATCGTACATGTTGATTTGTGTGTATAATATGTTAATTATATTTATAACATGTTTGTTGATACAAATGTAAGGCTGTTCGCACTGCCATATGTAGAGTAATTAAAAATGTGTATAATATATGTTAATTTTTTGTATACTATGTTAGTTCATACAAATCTAAGGTGGTTCACACGGTCATATTTAGAGTAATTTAGAAAGACCCTTGTACTTTTATAATGCATATTTTTGCAACTTCAAAACCCTTTCTGTCCCCACTGCCCCCTGCACGTGTGAATTATAAATCTACCCTCACGTCCGGTTGTCAACATTTCATCGTCAATCATGTGGTGCTGTACCTGACCTTTCGCATAATCCAACGGTGATGGACAAGACCGTGACCCACACATCACACTGACACGTAACCAGGAGAGGGGGAAAACCATTAATTTGTTCATCACCAACTTGTCTCTCTCTCTCTATATAATAAGATGCATGACAAGATAGAAAATGAACAACTTGAAAACTTGCTCCAAAAAAAAAATGGTGCTTATGGGGTTGTCTGAATCAGGCTATGGATGCAAGATTCACCCAAATCACCATGTTAAACTAGGGGTTTGCCCTTCTTGTTTAAGAGAAAGATTATCTAATCTGAATTAGATCGGTTCATACAAACACAATTTACTATATTTTTCTCCTTACATTGAATACCATTCGATTTCATTTTTGATGTCAACCTCACCATATCAACGACATCTTGATTCCCATAAACAAGATGGTTCTTGGGAGCCGATGGGAATCATAGGGCCGTCATCGTCGTGGTCCACGGTAAAATTCGGTGCTAATGGTGTAAAGAAGTGCAGATCGATTGCTTTCGAAACAAGAAACTTCTATGACGATGAAGAAGAAAAAGCGGCTAGGGATGGGAAGAAGAAAGAGAAAGGGTTTTGGTCAAAGTTGCTTGGTTTGAAAGGGAAAAATAAGGATGTTTTAAGACATTCAAAGAGTATGAGATTGATTGAAGAAGTGAACTTGGTTTCCTAAGGGTTCAATTTTCAATAAAATTTGGGTTAATTTGTTTTGGATATTTCTTACATTTATTACATTGGAAGTGAATGTTTCAGTTCACATTTATGGTTTCCTAAGGATGTTTATTCTTTCATCTTCTTCCAGAAATACAATTAGTTTTAGTTGTTTGTTTTGTAGGTTGAGTTTTAGGGGTTGAACTTGTTCAGTTGTTTAATGATAAAAAAATATTATTCTCCCTAAAAATTTTAAGTTTGAGTAGTTACGTCTAAAGTATGTACATGCATTGTTGATAGTTAAAAAATATTATAAACATATATCATCTTATAATTATTTTATATTATTTAAAAAATAGTTAGGATTTTGGATTATGTTTATTATAAACTATATTTGAGATTTATAATCATTTTTAAACAATAATATAAATTGATTGGATGAATTGATCTCTCTTTAAATTATATATAATTTAAATAAAACATATAAATTGTAAATATTTTTATATATTCTCATTTTCATGATATAAATGAGCGTTGACTTTGCCTCGTCATTGTTTAACATATATTCATTATTTATTACACTACATTAGTTTATTTTAATGCGTTTAAATTACGCTTATTATATATAGAGCGTTGACGAATGTTATGGACCACCGTTTTAAATTTTAAAGCAATGCAAGGCAGCCACCAGACGCTAATACGCTATACCTAATTAATAATTTATTAAACCATTAATTAATAATAGAATACAGACATAATTTAAACCATTAATTAACAAATTTAATATTTGAAGCTAATACGCTATTTATAAACACAATCAATTAAAAAACAAAACACTATGGATTTTTTTTTTAAAAAATCACTAATTTTATTTAAAATAAAAAATATCTTAAATTACAATAAAGATTTACGATTATAATTGTAACTTAATCATACAATTAGGATAATTTTTTATAATCATTAAAAAAATTACTTAAAATCACATAAGGACCATACAATGAAAGATTAAAATTTAATCAAGAAAACTCAAACAAAGATAGATAAAAACAAATCTAATCGCATAGACAAACGATTCACAAAAAGGGATCAAACTACTGAAAGATCATCGACAAATCGTAAATCAGACTCAAGTGACATGAAAAGTTATCCACAAACATATAATGAATATCCAAATCCAATTTGAATGTCCAAAGCAATGAAGATCAACAATATAACAAATAAGCGTCATCTTGATCAATCGTGACGATGTGAAATCAACTTTTATTAAAAGATAAGTGAAAATACGACCAAACAATCGAAAAACGTGTCAAAAAACATATGAAAACGTATCATACATTCATATTTATTGAAAATTAAAAAAAAAGAAATAAAGATGTAATATAAGAAAATAAAAAGATAATAAAGAATACTGGCAGTCGACAACCAGGGACGAACGCATGATTTTATGTTAGAGAGGGTGAACTTATAAAATTTTAAAGGGGATACGAACTTATAAAATTTTAAGAGATTGAAAATAAAAAAAAATAAAGATGTAATATAAGAAAATAAAAAGATAATAAAGAATACTGGCAGTCGACAACCAGGGACGAACGCATGATTTTATGTTAGAGAGGGTGAACTTATAAAATTTTAAAGAGGAGACGAACTTATAAAATTTTAGGAGGTGAAAATTTTCAACTGAAAATGTCTAAATTATATAGGAATTTAAAATTTTTAGGGGGAAGACCGCCACCACCTGCTTCCCTTTATGTCCATCTCTATTGGCAACCAACATTAAAATCTGTGTCATAATTTATTAATAAAGACAAAAAAGAAGAAGAGAATAACAACTTACTAATAAGAAAAAAAACTAGAATAACACTGTGGATATTATAAAAACATATTTATAACATCGGTTGCATTCGTTTGTGCTTGTATGAAATTTTGGGAAGTTGTTGGGACTATAATAATGAATAATAATATAAAATTGTTATAATTTATTGTTATTAACTATAGAATATACCGGTGTTACAATATAAAAAACTATGCAATATACTGGAGTAAATTATTCCACTAAATTAATGAATCAGAATAAGAAATAAATAATTTAAAACGTGGATAAGATATTATGTTCGAGAATACTTGATCGTATCATCTAAAATTTAATAAACTCATTTGTTATAAAAACAAACTCAAAATAAAAAACAATTTTAGACAAAAATACTCAATAAATTCAAGAGAGATTGAGAGATAAAGTAAGGGATTGGATGTCCTCAATTTTGATATGATTAGGATATAAATTAGTTTAAGATAGTTGAAAATTATTGAACCAAATTAAT